CTTCTGTCTTCTGCGGGCATTGCACGACACAAGTGCACTTACCTACATGTAGGCAATACACACGTACACATAAAATAAAAATAAATATTTTTTAAAATGTTTTAAAAATAAAAAAAAGCAAGGTGTTGAGATGGCTCACTGGTAAAGACATTTGCCACTAGGCCTGAGTGCACAGTCCCCAGTGGAAGCAGAGAACTGACTTCCTGAACTTGTCCTCTGAACTTCACATGCATTCTGTGACACCTGTACCCACATACAGGACAAACACACTAAATATCTAAATGTAAATAACAACAAAAACCAAGATGGACAGAAACTGAGAAGAGTCACTGGACTTGGGTTTCTGGCTTCCACACGCGTATGTATACATGTACAAACACACCCACATGCTTATGCACATACACAAACATGTATACCATACCCACACACGCAAACACACACACACACACACACACACACACGAGAAAACAAGACACTCCTTGATTTAAGTTCTTTTTTCCTTAACAGTGTCAACTTTGCAAGAAACCAAGCCCGAGACTCTTCTGAGTACAGGGTTGAATGTGACAATGTCGGTGAGCCCTACCTAAGCTCACTGGGGAGCTGGGACAGTGTTCCAGCAGAGCAGAGATGTCACTGGAACTAGATTTAAGGAAGATTATTCTGGCATATCTGGTAGCTGGGTCTGAAGGAATCCACAGGTGACTGGTTGAGCAGCCTTGTGATGGTGAAACAGGGGAGAGGAGTGGCCACAGGGACCGAAGGGCAAGGACAGGGCTGAGGCTCGGGTTAGGGTCTGAGTAGAGTCTTGAGGAACGAGAGTCTACTTAGCTGAGAGCAAGGGGCAGGAATGGACCCCTGGATGTGCCTGCCTTTATCCTTCACCTGCATCTTTCACCGGCACAAAATTGACAGAGTGACTCCCTTTGGCCACCAGAGGGCAGATCATTCTCATGTTTGAATTTGGGGTGGGGGTGGTGGCATGGACTCAGTCTTTATCCCTTCTCCTCAACTCCAGGAATGTGTCCACTCTTCAACTTCTTGTCTAGAGGAAAGGTGTTTGCATGGAGCTATGGTGGGGGTGTGGGGAGGTGTCTAGAGCCCTGTGCTTGGTGGACTGTTGCCCGAGGAAGTGCTTCTCTACCCTTCTCTGCCTCTATTCACTATTTATTGATTTGATTGAGAAGATCTAAGGTGAACTCAAGGTGGGAGGAGAAAGTCAGTTGTCTGAGGTTCAGTCAGCACTCTTCCCTTTGTAACCTCCGGGGCTTTCTCTGCTTCTTTACCTTTGAGGACCTGGCCTCTGTCCCTGTTGTTGAATGCTGGGTACTGAGGGCTAAGGGGCAATTTCCAACTTTTAGGGAAACATGGTTGGGTCAGCTTGAAGCTAGAGAAGTCAGCCTGAGCTATTGCCTGTGTTTGGTGGGACGTTGTCATCTATAAAGTTCATGTCTGTAAACTGAGTGAGAAATTTGGTTACAAACAAAAATCACACACATTTCAGTGTTTAAGTTTACAGTTTTATATAGGATTTCTTTTTTATTTTTGTTTTATGTGTATGAATGTACTGCATGTGTATAAGTACACCTGTGTCGTGCAATGCCCGTGGAAGTCAGGAGAGGGCATTGGATCCCCTGGAACTGGAGTTATGGATGTTTTTTAGCTACCGTGTGGGTGCTGGGAATCAAACTCTGTAAGAGCAGTCAGTGATCTAAACCGTTGAGCCATCTTTCCAGCTCAAGCCTTCCTTCCTTCCTTCCCTCCCTCCCTCTCTTTCTCTTTCTTTCTTTCTTTCTTTCTTTCTCTCTCTCTTTCTTTCCTCTCTTCTCTTCTCTTTTCTTCTCTTTTCTTTTCTTTTCTTTTCTTTTCTTTTCTTTTGAGGCAAGGTCTCCCTATAATCCCCAGCTGACCTGGAACTCTATGTAGACCAGGCTGGCCTGGAACTCTTAGAGATCCTCCTGCTTCCACCTCCCCAGTGCTGTGATTAAAGGCATGTGCCACCACGCCTGGCTCTTATTTCTTCTTTTTAAGTGTATGAGTGTCTTGCCTGTGTATATGTGCACCACATGCATGCAGTGCCCACAGAGGCCAGAAGAAGGTGTTGGATTTCCCAAGAACTGGACTTACAGATGGTTGTTAGCTGTCTTGTGGGTGCTGGGATCAGAATCCAGGTGCCTTTAAACGCTGAGATATCCCTCCAGTCCCAGGAATCCTCTTCTTTCCCCACCAGTTTCTTTTTCTTAGAAGGGAGATTTGAAAATTAAATGAAATAGTCTCACCTGGCTTTCTTTGTAGGACATTTAAAAACATAATTTAGAACTTGACGATGTTGCACACCTTTAATACCAGCACTCTGGAGGCAGAGGCAGGTAGATCTCTTGAGTTTGAAGCCAGCCTTATCTACAGAGCGAGTTCCAGGCTAGCTGGGTCTACAGGGAGACCCTGTCTTAAAAAGACCAAAATATATATATATATAATTCAGGGGCTGGAGACATGGGTCAGCAGTTAAGAACACTAGCTGTTCTTACAGAGGACCCGGGTTCAATTCCCAGCACCCACACGATGGCTAAGAACTATCTGTGACTCCGGTTCCAGGGGATCCAACACCCTCTTCTGACCTCTGTGGGCACTGTACAACACAAGTCCACTTACATACATACAGGCAATACACTCATACACATAAAGTAAAAGCAATTTTTTTTTTTTTTTGGTCTTTTTGAGATAGGGTCTCCCTGTAGCCCCAGCTGACCTGGAATTCACTATGTAGACCAGGCTGGTCTTGAACTCACAGAGGTCTGCCTGCCTCTACCTCCCAAGTGTGGCATTAAAGGCATGTGCCACCATGCCTGGCATAAATAAAGTATTTTTAAAAAGTAATTTAGGGGCTGGTGAGATGGCTCAGCAGTTAAGAACACTGTATTTGGAGAAGACAGGGGTTTGAATCTCAGCACCCACATGGCAGCTAACAACTGTAACTCCAGTTCCAAGGGATCCGACAGCCTCTTCTGTCCTCTGTGGGCATTGCACGACACGGGTGCACTTACTTACATGCAGGCATGACACTCATACACATAATTTAAAAATAATAAATAAGCCGGACGTGGTAGCGCATGCCTTTAATCCCAGCACTCGGGAGGCAGAGGCAGGCAGATCTCTGTGAGATCAAGGCCAGTCTGGTCTACATAGTGAGTTCCAGGCCAGATGGGGCTACAGGGAAACCCTGTCTCAAAATGACAAAATATAAATAAATAAATAAATAAATAAAATAAAATAAAATATTAAAAAATAAAATAAAAGTAATTCAAAGGCAGGGCATAGTGGTGCATACCTTCAATCCCAGCATTCAGGAGGCAAAGGCAGGTTGATCTCTGTGAGGCCAATATGGTAATCAGTCCTAGATCAGCTGGGGCTATGGGGAGAGTCTGTCTCAAAAAAAAAAAAATAAAGGTAATTCAAGACCAGACATGGTGGTACACACCTGTAATACTAGTACTTGAAAAGTGGTGGCAGGAGGACCAGGAGTTGAAAGCCATCCTTGGCTACATGTCAAGGCCAGCCTGGGTTACATGAATGGAGATCCTATCTCCAAAAATCAACAACAAAAAAATAGTATGTGATTTTTCTTTTTTTTAAAAAAAAATTATTTATTATTTCTATTTTACTTTTTGGTCTGAGACAGGGTCTCCCTTAGTCCCATCTGGCCTGGAACTCACTATGTAGACCAGACTGGCCTTGATCTCACAGAGATATGCTTACCTCTGCCTTTGGAGTGCTGGGATTAAAGGTGTATGCTACTATACTGGGCTTATTATTTTATGTGTATGAGTGTATTTATTACCTGCATGTATGTAAGTGCACCCATGTCGTGCAATGCCTGCGGAGGTCAGAAGAGGGTGTTGGATTCCCTGGAACTGGAGTTACAGATGGTGGTTAGCCACCATGTGCGTGGGGAATTGGACCCAGGTCCTCTGCAAGAGCAGCCAGTGCTCTTAATCACTGTGCAGTCTCTCCAACCTAGTATGTGATTTTTCAAAGAGTATTTTTTTGGGGGGGGGTCTTTTTGAGACAGGGTCTCCCTGTAGCCCCAGCTGTCCTGGAACTTGCTATGTAGACCAGGCTGGCCTTGAACTCCCAGAGATCAGCCTGCCTCTGCCTCCAGAGTGCTGGGATTAAAGGCGTGCGCCACCACTCCCGGCTTCAAAGAGTAATTTTATTAAATCATTTTTATGTGTTTGTGTGTCTGGGCGTGCCATGGTGTGTACCTTACATGGGGGGGGGGAGGTGTCAGAGAACAGCTTTCAGAAGTCGCTTCTCTCTTCCCACCTTGTGGGTGGGTCCCCAGGAATCAAACTCGGGTAGTCAGGTTTGGGGGCAAGTTACTTTATCAGCTGAGCCATTTTGCGGCCCCCGATTAGGTGATTTTTACCCCTACAAGCATTTTCACTGGACAGAGCTGCAGCTGAAGCCCAAGTACCAAAGACACTGTCCTTGATGAGCACTGCGGGACTCAGCATGAGGATGTCGGATTTGGAGAGGCTAAGGAAGTCGGGACATGGCAGTTGTGATAGCAGGTCAACAGGTAACACTGACACGACTCTCCATTTGACAGATGACACACAAGCTGATAGAAAGGTTGACTAAACAAAGGTGGGTTTTATGAGCTGATGGATAGACATGCTGATAGGGAGTTCCTTTACGACCAGAAGACACCAATCGTAAGGACAGCTAATAACTTTTTTTTTCTATGTAGTCAAGCAACACGCACAGGTAGGTGACGCACGCTTTATGGTCTGTTTGAAAAGACACGAAAACTGACGGAAAGAAACGAAGAGTAAGACGCTGGCAACCTCGGAGGGTCTCGGGTGTTGCCGGAAATAGCCGACGACCTGCCTCGGCAGAGCGACGGGACGGGGGCGTGGCCGGTTTAGCACGCGCGGAGCCTTTTCGGGTGTTTCCGGAAACTGCCGAAAGCCAGATCCAAGTGGGCGGAGAAAGGCCGGTGGGCGTGGCTGCTGTGTGGCTCTTGGAGGTGCTAGGAGTCGCTTCGTGGGTTTCCGTAAACAGAGCCGAAGCTGGATCTTCCGAATCCAGGAGGTGCGCGCGTCTCCGGGGATTATCTTCTTCGGCAGTTTCCGGAATTCACCCGTAGTCCGGAGCCGAGAGGAGAAGGCGCGCCCCCCTCCCGTTCCTAGCTGTTTCGGATGTTTCCGGCTGTTGCTGGCGGAAAGAGCCGAGGGCTGGCGGTGGTGGCGGCCATGTTGGGAGCAGCAGGTCCGGCGGCGGCTGCCTGTGTGCCGGGCGCGGAGCAGTGCGGCTGAGGGCAGGGGAGGAGCGAGGCAGGCGGCCGGCTGCGGCGGCAGAGAGTAGGCGGAGCGGCGCGGCCGGGCCGAAAGGCGGCACAGCCCAGCCGGGGGTCGGGGGGGTGCGGTTCGGAGCCGGCGAGGCCTAGCCCGAGCGGTGCATCCCCGGGCTGGCGTGAGCGGTTGCCCGGCCTCCCCGCACCCCCGGCCGGGGCCCATGCAGCGGGTGCTCCTGCTGTGAGAAGCCCCGCCCGGCCGGGCTCCGACCCTTTCCTTCCCTCCAGTCCTCCAAGCTTCTCCGTTCCCTCCCCTGAGATACCGGCGCCATGTCCAGCGCCCGGACCCCCCTACCCACGCTGAACGAGAGGGACACGGAGCAGGTAAGGAGCCCCAAGGCTCCCCGAATTCTGTGGCTGGGCCCCTGCACCTTGCGGAGCCTCCTTCTGCTCTCCTCGTGTTCCCGCTGCCATCCCGCAAGTCTCTGCTGCCCAGTCATCTGGCTCCCGGCTCCGGCCCCGCACATCCCCCTTCCTGAGTCCTGACCCGGGACCCACCTTGTCCGGACTGAGCTGCACACTTGTCTCTCTGCCAGACCCCCCCCCCCCCCCCCCTCCCGGGTCCCTGCCCGGGGCCCCCCTTTTCCCGGCCTGGCCGCCCCCTTTGTCCCCCGCCAGGCCCCCCCCCCCCGCCACCTCCGCCGTCCTGCGCTCTTCCGTGTTACCTCCCCAGCTTCCCCTTCTCTTCCCTTTTTCTCTCAAGGGGCCTTTCTGGTCTTCATCCACCCACACTTAAAGCAGCCACCCTCCGGCTCCGCGAATAACACCCCGCGATTTGCCGCGGATTGTTGCCCACCTTTTTCTGCATCTCTCTAGCCTTGCACCCCCTCTGCCCACACCGGTTCTCCCGGTACTCGGCTTTCGCCTTCAGGATCGGTGCCCCAGAGTGTGTTCCCGGCTCCCTATCCCCTTTCACTTCCCCAGCCTTTTCTAGCCTGCTCCCTTCCCGTTCCAAATCGGGCTCGCCCTGTTGCTTGCAACCCACCAGCTCCACCCTCATCACCTTTCCAAATCGTTCGCCTACTCTTTGCTCATCACTTTCTCTTTTCGCCAGGAGCTCCTCGGTTCCTGGTGCTGGCGTGTGTCGCTTCCGTGTTTCCCATACAGCTGTCATGCGCATAGTTTTCCCACAGGTTGCCTTTGGGATTCCAGTCACCGCTCCCTCCAGAGTCTGTGGATCTCTTCTTCTCTTTCCCCCCTGGGGTTTGGCCTTTTAAGTCCTAGGGCCTCCTGTGTCTCGCTGTGAGTGCTCTTCCAGCTTCTCCCAGGGCTTGTTCTCCGTGTGGGAAAGACAGCGTATGAGCCCGGCTGTATTAACATAACCTGTTGCTCTGTTCTCCCGGGCTGCAGCAGCTGCATGACGGTCGCTGCCTTTCTGCCTTCCTGTGCTGCCACACAAACTAGGATGCTGTCAGTCTCCACTCCATGTCTGTCACTTTTGTAGTGTCTTCCTCCGTGTTTGCTACTTCCTGTAGCTTAGCCTCACCCCATCTTCCTCACTATGCCTCTCAGTCGCTTCCTTTCATGTCCATATGCGTCTCCTGCCCTCTTCGTGGTGTAGTCACCCCTCCATCCACCCCCTTCCTATTGTCCAGGCTTGACATTTCCAGGAAGTCCCCACATTTTGCATGCTGCCTGTCTGGGGCGGGTGGGCCTCAGGGCCCTGTACACTCATCCTGGCAATCACTGCTCTGTCGCCGAAGCCTTCGCCTTTTCTGTGTCATCATCTTACTCTGAGCAGAAGCATCCACTTTCCATCCCTCCCCTTTGTTTGAGCATCTCCAGTGTCTTTTGCTGCCTGCTTTGTGGACAGTCCCCTGCCTGTCAGACCTTTCTGGGTGAATTTTACTAGGCAGCACAACTTGTGTTGAAAAAGGAGCTCTTCTGGCCCTGGCTTCAGTGCTTTTTGCATCCTTTGCCCCCATCACATCCTTTATGTTTCCTCCCTGTCTCTGTTTTCTTATAGCAGGTAGGATAGAGATGCTGCTGCGCTCTCTCACCCTAACTCCCTTTTCTGAAAAGCCTCTCGTTTTACCTGCTCTCTGTCACCTGGGTAGTTAGGAATGAAAGAGACATCTGGACAGAGTTTTCTGCTGTCTGACTGACTCTTACTACCTATGGACGGATTTCTGGGAGAAGCAGGGATTGAGAGGAGGCATGGCTGGTTTGTTTCATCATGATCTGGCAGCTGGTCCTGCCTGGGACAGAGGTCTTTGGAAACTGAGGTGCCTGGTCTGTGTTGCACAGTCCCTGGCTTGCCAGCTGGCTCTTGCCTCCTGGGAACCACTTTCTCTAGACCCTCTTGAGGTTGCTCTGTCCATCCTTTCCCTGTCATGACGTTTATTTCAGCAGGTAGATCTTGCCTAACTGGAGAACTTTCCCAGACTGTTGATTATGAGCCGGTAGGAGGAGGCCAAGTGACTGACTGGCACCCTCAGGCATCTGGGGAGTGGTTGGAGTGCCTGTTCCTCAGAGAGGCTGTGGGGGCATTGTGTTCAACAGAGAGTGGCCTCAGTGTGGTTTCTTTGTACTGTTTACTAAATGGAAATACAGTATTGTCATGCTCGCCTTTTTCTTGTGATGTGTGCTCAGATTTCCTCTCTTCCTTACATCCCTCGCATACAGTTTGAGCCAGGGCGCATGTCCACTAATTTCAATATAACTTTGTCCAGAGCAGTGGCTGCATACATCAGCATCCTGTTCCAAATTATGACTTGCTCATCCTGTCTCTTTACTTCATAAACTTGGTTACTCTGAGCCAGTTCATGGTTCTCTGCAGTTCTGAGCGACCATTCACACCGTTGATTTCATATTAAGCCTCTTCCTAGAAAAACTTCTACTTTGGAAAAAGCTAGATGCGCACCTATTGCAGGTGCCTGGTTGTTTGATTTTGTGTGTTGTTGTTTCTTGTGCTGCTGGGGATTGGATCAAGGCCTTGCTTGTGCTTGCTAGATGCTCTGCCCTGAGCTATGCCCCCAGTCCAACCCTGTGTTCTTAGAGGATGAAAAGAGGCAAGCCGAAGCTCCTCCAGTCCCAAGGCCAGGGCTGTCAGGTATTAGCCTTCTTTAGAGTGGATCATGCCACCTGCGGAAAGTAAGTCCTCTTTTGTTGCAACTTTAGATAAAAACCATTATGGAAGTTCAGCTCTTGTACCTCCTCCATGTTGGGAAATAAAAAGCAAAGGATTTGGTTGGCAGATCCCTTTCCACTGTCACCTTATTTAGATTTAAATTATTTAAACTGGTTTCACCAGAAAATAGGTAAACAGACTCCAGTAGTTGTCTCCAATCTCTTGTGCCTTTTCTCCCCCTTCTTTAAAAATGTGGCTGATGAGAAGCTGTTTCTAGGAGCTCTTTGATCACATCGGAAACACACACCGAACATGTTGAAGCATAAAAATAAACCTTATGTTGCAGGAGATTGCCTGTTTGCTGTCAGCGCTGCTTCTAACAGTGAAAATAGGAGATAAAAGAAAATCAAGCTCTGTCTCCTAAGATAATTTTGGTGACATCTGATTCTAGATGTGCTTTTTTACAACCACTGATGGCTTCTTTTTGCAGGATTCCAACCTGGGGCTGGTAGTTTTGGGGCTTAAGTGTGAGCTGAGCTTTTTGTGAGCTGCTTTTCCAAATGGCTCTGCTGGACTGGAGGCTTGGCAGCCTTGAAAGCAATCAGCAAGATGACTATTTGTCTTCCAGCCAGCACAACCTTAGTCAAGTGTGGAAAAGGGTCCAGCTTCCAGAGTTCACCTGCCCCAGGCTAGAACTTTTGCTTAGTCCTGGGGGCGGGTTTCAGATGTGTTCCATCTCCAGACCCCAGAAACAGAGGACCCCTGAGAGAAAACAGGAGCCTTTTGCTACCTGCCAGGCAAATGGCAGTCCTGCCCCAAGGCTTCTAGGGAGTGAGTGGCCGTGTATGTTCTCTAGGAAGGAGAGTTTGGAAGATTGGTGAAGAGGGCAAATCCAAGTTATAGGATCCTATAAAGAATGAGGGCCGGGGAGATGGCTCAGGGGAAGGGCACTTACTAACAAGCCTGATGATTTGAGTTGGATCCCCAGGACCCATATGGTGGACGGAAAGAACTTACTTTGGCAAGTTGTCCTCTTACCTTCGTGAGTGCTTAGACATGTGGTGCATGTAGAGACACACACACACACACACACACACACACACACACAAATAAATAAATAATAAGTAAATGTACTTGAAAAAAAGAACAAGTGATGACTCGGCCTGGAAGTGTGGGCCTGGAATCCCAGCCACTCTAGAGGCTGAGACAGGAGAGTCACAAGTTCAAGGTCTGCTTGAGCTACAAAATGAATTCAAGGCTAGCCTAGGCAGCTTAATGAGACCCTGTCTCAAAACGAAAAGTAAAGAGAAGGCTGGGGATGTAATATAGTGGTAGCATTTGCCCTGCATATGACTCTGGATTTGCTCCCGAGGAGGGTGGATGTGAGGGTGGGCTTGGTGGAAGAGCTGAGCCACTCCATATGACATCTGTTAAAGACATGCTTTCTGGTCAACACTGCACCAAACAAATACTTCAGTTTTGTTTGTATGTGGTTCTGCGCTTTGGTGGTGGGCTGGGGCTCCTTGATGGGGCTGTCGCCTTCTAGGTGGAGATTTGAGTGACTGTTTGGGCCACAGTCTCACCTGCTAGGCCCTGTGGTTTTGTATGAGGGTTGTATGAATATAGCTCTAGGAGACTGTGACATGGCCATGCCCTATCCCTTGACCTGGTCAAAGCAACTACGGCTGTGAGTTACAGTGATGCTTCTCCATTCTGTGGGTTTGGGGAAATGGTTGAACAGATAGATGTATACAAGTCAGAGAGTTGACCTGCTTCAGATGGAAATCAGGTTTGTGAGAGATAGCTAGGCCTTTCAGAGTGACTAGAGGCTGGCCTGGAGACAGTATAAATGTCTTTGGCAGAGGTGATGCCTGCAAGGTAGAAATAGATGGAGACTGTTCACCTGAGGTTTGCATGGTGAGATCTTTGAGGAGTCAGAACTCTGGCTACACACTTTCCCGTTTGGACATTGGACCAGGGCTAACCCAGGCCTTCATGAACTCTCTCTCATGGAGCACTTAGCCACCTGGCTGGCATTTCTCTTCTCCCAGGAGCTTCTATGACGTTCCTACATATGTATTATGTCGACTTGAATGAATATTTTATACTTAGAGTGCAGCCAGGCCTCAGACTTTGTGGCACATTATCGACAAGTGGGGTGGGGGCTGGGCGCCACCTTTGGCCCCATGATAGTGTCTCTGCTAAATGGACTCCCCCCCAGCAGCACTTTGAAGCCCATTAATGAGTTAGGATG